CACAAAGCGAGGGCCATAAAGAAATGGTTTGTCGAGATCGGTGTGGAAGAACTTGATTGGCCTGCACAGAGCTCTGACCTCAATCCCATTGAACACCTTTGGGATGAATAGGAACTCCAACTGCGAGCCAGGCCTAATCGCCCAACATCAGTGTCCTCACTAATACTCTTGTGGCTGAATGGAAGCAAGTCCCTGCAGCAATGTTCCAACATCTAGTGGAAAGCCTTCCCAGAAGTGTGGAGGCTGTTAAAGCAGCAAAAGAGGGACCAACTCCATATCAATGCCCATGATTTTGGAATGAGATGTTCGACGAGCAGGTGTCCACATACTTTTGGTCATGTAGTGTATAATGGTCTCATGTAAACAACCACATGGTACTACTTTTGCTATCTAGTAAACTTGTTAGCTACTTCAGTAGATGTTGAACACATTTCTAACTGCAAATGAACACATTTCTAGCTGTAAACGTGTTAAATTATAGCCATGGTATAAAGGGAATAATCAACTCGGGGCTCTATACGTTCTCTGGAAAATAATGCAACTCCTTGGAAGGCTATACAAACGCTTCACACCACGTGGCTGTTGCCACTCTAATCTGGTGGTCCCTGCGCGCACGACCCACGTGGAGTTCCAGGTCTCTGGCAGCCTCTGGAACTGCCGTTCTGCGGCCAACAAGGCAGAGTTCATCTCAGCCTATGCTACCCTCCAGTCCCTCGACTTCTTGGCGCTGACGGAAACATGGATTACCACATAATACACTGCTACTCCTACTGCTCTTTCCTCGTCTAACCATGTGTTCTCGCATACTCTGAGAGCATCTGGTCAGTGCGGCGGTGGCACAGGAATCCTCATCTCTCCAAAGTGGACATTCTCTCTTTTTCTCCTGTCCTCATTTGAATTCCATGCTGTCACAGTCACTAGCCCATTCTTAACATCCTTGTCATTTATCGCCCTCCAGGTTCCCTTGGAGAGTTCATCAATGAGCTTGACGCCTTGATAAGTTCCTTTCCTGAGGATGGCTCACCCCTCACAGTTCTGGGTGACTTTAACCTTCCTACGTCTGCCTTTGACTCATTTCTCTCTGCCTCCTTCTTTCCACTCCTTTCCTCTTTTGACCTCACCCTCTCACCGTGCCCCCCTACTCACAAGGCAGGCAATACGCTTGACCTCATCTTTACTAGATGCTGTTCTTCTACTAATCTCACTGCAACTCCCCTCCAAGTCTCCGACAAGTCTCTCGCTACTCTCTCCTCTTCCATACTGTCATCTCTTCCCTCTGCTAAATCCTTCTCCCTCCGATCTCCTGAATCTGCCTCCTCAACCCTCCTCTCCTCCCTTTCTGCATCTTTTGACTCTCTATGTCCCCTATCCTCCCGGCCGGCCGGCTCGGTCCTCCCCTCCTGCTCCGTGTCTTGACGATTCATTGCGAGCTCAAAGAAGAGGGCTCCGGGCAGCCAAGTGGAAATGGAGGAAAACTAGACTCCCTGCGGACCTGTCATCTTTTCACTCCCTCCTCTCTACATTCTCTTCCTCTGTTTCCGCTGCTAAAGCCACTTTCTACCACTCTACATTTCAAGCCTCTGCCTCTAACCCTAGGAAGCTCTTTGCCACCTTCTCCTCCCTGCTGAATCCTCCTCCTCCTCCCCCTCCCTCGTCCCTCTCTGTGGATGACTTCGTCAACCATTTTGAAAAGAAGGTTGACGACATCCGATCCTCATTTATTAAGTCAAATGACACCGCTGGTCCTGCTCACACTGCCCTACCTTATTCTTTGACTTCTTTCTCCCCTCTCTCTCCAGATGAAATCTTGCGACTTGTGACGGCCGGCCGCCCAACAACCTGCCTGCTTGACCCTATCCCCTCCTCTCTTCTCCAGACCATTTCCGGAGACCTTCTCCCTTACCTCACCTCGCTCATCAACTCATCCTTGACCGCTGGCCATGTCCCTTCCGTCTTCAAGAGAGCGAGAGTTGCACCCCTCCTCAAAAAACCTACACTCGATCCCTCCAATGTCAACAACTACAGACCAGTATCCCTTCTTTCTTTTCTCTCCAAAACTCTTGAGCGTGCCGTCTCTAGCCAACTCTCCTGCTATCTCTCTCAGAATGACCTTCTTGATCCAAACCAGTCAGGTTTCAAGACTGGTCATTCAACTGAGACTGCTCTTCTCTGTGTCACAGAGGCTCTCCGCACTGCTAAAGCTAACTCTCTCTCCTCTGCTCTTATCCTTCTAGACCTATCCTCTGCCTTTGATACTGTGAACCATCAGATCCTCCTCTCCACCCTCTCCGAGTTGGGCATCTCCGGCGCTGCTCACTCTTGGATTGCGTCCTACCTGACAGGTGGCTCCTACCAGGTGGCGTGGCGAGAATCTGTCTCCGCACCACGTGCTCTCACCACTGGTGTCCCCCAGGGCTCAGTTCTAGGCCCTCTCCTATTCTCTCTATACACCAAGTCACTTGGCTCTGTCATATGCTCACATGGTCTATCCTATCATTGCTACGCAGACGACACACAATTAATTTTCTCCTTTCCCCCTTCTGATAACCAGGTGGTGAATCGCATCTCTGCATGTCTGGCAGACATATCAGTGTGGAACGTCGGATCACCACCTCAAGCTGAACCTCGGCAAGACGGAGCTGCTCTTCCTCCCTGGGAAGGACTGCCCGCTCCATGATCTCGCCATCACGGTTGACAACTCCATTGTGTCCTCCTCCCAGAGTGCAAAGAGCCTTGGCGTGACCCTGGACAACACCCTGTCGTTCTCTGCTAACATCAAAGCGGTGACCCGATCCTGCAGGTTCATGCTCTACAACATTCGCAGAGTACGACCCTACCTTACACAGAAAGCGGCACAGGTCCTAATCCAGGCACTTGTCATCTCCCGTCTGGATTACTGCAACTCGCTGTTGGCTCGGCTCCCTGCCTGTGCCATTAAACCCCTACAACTCATCCAGAACGCTGCAGCCCGTCTGGTGTTCGACCTTCCCAAGTTCTCTCATGTCACCCCGCTCCTCCGCACACTCCACTGGCTTCCAGTTGAGGCTCGCATCTACTACAAGACCATGGTGCTTGCCTACTGAGCTGTGAGGGGAACGGCACCTCCTTACCTTCAGGCTCTGGTCAGACCCTACACCCAAACGAGGGCACTACGTTCATCCACCTCTGGCCTGCTAGCTCCCCTACCTCTACAGAAGCACAGTTCCCGCTCAGCCCAGTCAAAGCTATTTGCTGCTCTGGCACCCCAATGGTGGAACAAGCTCCCCCACGACGCCAGGACAGCGGAGTCACTGACCACCTTCCGGAGACACTATAAAGCAATCCTTCTACCCCCCCCCCCCCCCCCCCCCCAAAAAGAAAGTAATAAAAAAAAAAGAAGAAAAAAAGTGGTTGTCCCACTTGCTATCATAAGTTGAATGCACCAATTTGTAAGTCACTCGTCTAAATGATGTAAATGTAGTGCATCTAACTTGGAAACACAAATGGTTGTAGTCCATTTGCTTTCTCTGACGTCAGATAGGTTTACATTATGTTTGTTGAAAATGTATCACTGCCTTTCTATGTCACCTAATGGCAGTTTACTACCGTGGGTCAGAGCATCATTCCTACAGCGTGAGCCTGAGGCGTTGTGGGAACATTAGGGAACATTAGGGTTAAGGGCCTGATGCCACTAATTGCTCCTCTGGTGTGGAGCGGACCAGTACCCTAGATGGCCTGCCCTCTAATGAGGCACCCAGGGGTGAGAGAGTAGGTGAAGGATGAGCAGCTTCTGGAGAGTGGGGCACTGCCAGCCAGAGGGATGGAGGGGGCAGAGCTTCAGGGAAATGTCCAGGAGAAAATAGTGAATTAGGGGGGGTTTTGTGTTTCACATACTGCACATTGCTAGAACATTGTGTCACTAGACCTCTTGATGATGATTATTATACCCAAGGCTCAGTCGGGTCTTTCTTGTCACTTCACTGAAAGTATCAAGGCCGCAGAGCTTGTATCAGCAGATGTGAATAGACTAATAGGCTCTCTCTCATCTCTAGCTCTGGGTGCCTGTGCTATGGTGAATTAGCTGTGTCCACCCCTCAGGCTGCCATGTCTGTGTGTACAACCCAGAGCTGCTCAGTGTCTAATGCAGCAGGACAGGCAGGCTGGCCTTCCACACTCTCACGGCCATGTTTTACTAGACAACCATACTTTACTAGGCAAGCAAAGCATCATAACAAATTTGCAGTGACCAAAGGGTCTTTATAAACTACTGCCACTTGTTCTCTGTAGAGTCTGTTCTGGCTTTACTCAGAACACTTCAAGATACAGTATGGTTGGTAGGATGAGTTCAAAGCGACACTATGTAGTAATGCAATATGTAGCCCAAATTAAATGGAAGTAGTTTGTGTTTTTGTTGTGTGCCGGTATATGTGGATCTGTGTTGGTGTGTTGGTGTATGCGTACATGTCTCTGGAATGCAAAAGAGTGTGTGCATTTGTCTGCCTGACTGTCGGTCTGTCTGCCTGACTGTCTGCCTGACTGTCGGTCTGTCTGCCTGACTGTCGGTCTGTGTAGACAATATTGAGAGATGGTCATGGTCATGGTTTTTCATCAGCTCTGTCGGTTGGTTGATTGCCAGGGTCAATGGCCATCTCTAAATAATGCTTCGCCCACAGGATAATTCCACTCCAGCCTTCCTGTGTGTCCCCAAATGTAATTAGCCCGAGCTACTGTTGATTCATTCCATTATCAAAGGTGATTCACTTGTTCAAATTTCAGCAGAGATTGATCTTTGCATGCCTTTGAGCATGACCTTGGGACTATAGGATATTGTACGTGTGTTTGTATAGTGGTTTATCACTTAAAATGACATTAATGTCATCCAGTTTGGTCACTGCCCTGTCTGTGGTGGTACTTGAGGTCAGCAAGGCATTTGGTTCTTTGTATTGACAATGATTTCATTCACATGATTGGTATGGTTCTAAAATATGTTTGCTCTCTCTCACACAGTCAAATCAGAGAAGATGGACAAACCAGAGAAAGAGGAGATGATGGACAACTTCGAGAAGTTGGACCAATTTGACATGTTGGATAAGCTAGACAAAGTGGAGAAGAAGGATACGACTGCGAAGACTGAGGCGTCAGTGAAGGTGCAGTATGCAGACCCACTGGACAAAGACGAGAAGATGGATCAAATGGACAAGGCAGAGAAAACAGAAAAGCTGGAGCCAACAGAAAAGGTAGACAAAGAAGAAAAACCAGAGAAGGTGGAAAAAATGGACAAGGGTGACAACACTGACAAAGTAGAGAAGATGGACAAGGTGGAAAAGCCTGAGAAGAAAGAACAGAATATTGAAAAAGTGGAGAAGACCCCAGAGAAACCGGAGACAGCGGTGAAGTTGGACACATTTGACAAGATGGAAACACAGCCTGACAAGGAGAAGACAGACCATGTTGGAAAGGTAACAGTAACAGCTGAGAAAGAAACAGAAAACGTAGAGAAGCCCACAGACAAAGTGGAAAAGGAGGATAAGAAGCCGGAGAAAACAGAGCTGGCTGAGAAATTAGACAAGCAGGTTAAGGTGGAGAAATCTGAGAAAAAAGAGCTGAAAAGTCCTGAGAAAAAGACGGACAAGAAAGCAGAGACCGCTGATAAGGCCAAAAAACCTGCAAGTAAACCCTCGACCAATGGGAGCAGTGCCACACCAAGCAAGGACCTGCCCAGTCCAGACAAGAAGACCAAGGTAGGCCACAGTCGAGATTTAAAGAGGAACGTTATCAAATCATACATCACTCATGCTGCTAACGCTTTTGCTACTGCTACATTTATATCCATGTATAGCAGTGAGCTAGGACTATAAGTGGTCCATTGAAGTCAATTTAATGAAGTAATATCTGTCATAATCAGCAATATGAAGAAAAAGGAAAGGATGTTGGTCTTCATTGTTCTAGTGCTGATTTTACCTTGATGTAACTTAATTGAGTTTTTGGTTTTGTCAAGCTGGCAGTTCCATTTGTTGGTATTCTGTTGATTATGATTAAGGCTGCTTCTGCTGCTTTCTCCTGCTGCTATCATGTGTTTTGTTGTTTTTCTTTCTCGCCTTTTGTTCTTTTCTTTTGCTATTTGTCTGGTGTGCCGTCCATCTCGCAGCCGGTTGCCGGGGCAACCAAACAGAGCGCCGCTAAGCCACGGCCGAGCTCGGCAGCATCCACTGGTGCTGCCGCCCCCAAACGCCCCACCCCTTCCTCCACCTCCACCACCACCTCAGCCACCCTCAACAAAAAAACACCTGTGCCCAAGGCCCCTACCCCCACCGCTGGCCCCAAGCGGCCCTCGTCCACAGTCAGCCGACCCACATCCGCAGCCACCACCTCCACCACTGCGCCACGTGAGGTCAAGCCCAAGGTGAGTGCCCCTGCCCTGCTTTAGCCGCAGTCTCCTCCACCTCCATAGCCACCCCTGTGTGGTGTCTCTCTGTGTAGGGAAAACGACCTACCACCTACTTCTTCTCTCATTGCATTTCTTTCAATCTCCTACTCATCATCTTGCTGATCAGAAGAAGGAGCATGTTCAGTTCTGTTTAGCATAGGTGTTAGTTTAGCTACTATGTTAATTTCCACAGGAGCTATAGTCAAAGGCTCTGTCTGACTGCAGTGGTGCTGCTCGGAGCCTAATCTGCCTGTAATGGATCCACGTTCTAAACTTGTCTTGGCCCTGGTGCTGAGTGGCCGTCCACAGGATTACTCAGAGCAGGGTTCATAGAGGGAAGGTCGGGCTTTAGGGTAGGGGGCCAGAGGAGGGGCAGCCAGCATTCATCACTCCTCCCCTGGCATTTACTAGAGAGACCCAGGGGCAACCATCAGTCGCTCACCTTCAGCCGTCAGCGCAGCAGATACACACTACAATGTACTGTACATGATGTACAGCCACTTCTCTAACCTGCTGGTGTATTTGCCTTTAATGACATATTAAGTAGCCTTGCACGGGTCTTGGAGCCTATCTCCTGTTTCTGTAGCGTAAGGCAGCTTGATGCACAAGTACACCCCCTGGACAGGACACTAGTCTATCGCAGAGCCTTACCCCAAATCTATCTTAGTGCCAAGTAGTGATGCATCGGGTCCCATTTTTGTCAGTCTTTGGTATGTCCCAGCCGAGGATCGCACTCCCAACCTTCAAATCTCAGGGTGGACATTCTAACCACAGCTACATATTACACTGCTGTTTAATATTGGAGTACTGTAATAAAGTCTAGGTCAAAAGGGCGGGCGACTCGAGAGATCGTAAGACACATTTGAATGAGAGAGGGAATGAATGAGGAGGCGGTGCAGAAATCAAAGCTGTTTTCCAAGCAAAGCCTCCCTCGGGCGGTGTATCTATGCATGGGGAAATCAGACACACACCGCATTGGCATTCTTTTTATATCCCTGGTTCCTAGTGCAATCCTTACATCAGCGCCAAGGCAAAACACACCATATTGTGAAACCAGAGACCTATCAACAGTGGACCTCCTGTGTATTGAGGATTCTGTCGCATGCTCGTTGCTGCCTTCCAGTTTCGATGCAACACATTCCAGATGCTTCCTTGACAAAATTGTCTGGAGCCTTCATTCCTAATACTTTGATAATACTAATCTGAACTGTGCTCTCTGAGGTTATATATGGTGTTGATTCAGAACCATATCATGCCATATACTGTATATAAGGGGTGTCGAAACTCCACAATGGGCCGGTGCAGTAACACACCTGCTTTAGTTTGACTTTGAATAGTTCAATTAATCAGGTGTGTTACTGGTTGGTTGGAACAAAGGTCTGGACTAACACCAGCCCCGTACGTATGATAATGGCCACCCCTGTTGTACACCGGTTTGTGTCAAGAACTGCAACGCTGCTGAGTTTTTCACGCTCAACAGTTTCCCGTGTGTATCAAGAATGGTCCACCACCCAAAGGACATCCAACCAACTTGACACAACTGTGGGAAGCATTGGAGTCAACATGGGCCAGCATCCCTGTGGAACGCTTTAGACACCTTTTGGAGTCCATGCCCCGGCGAATTGAAACTGTTCTGAGGGCAAAAGAGGGGGTGCAACTCAATATTAGGAAGGTGTTCCTAATGTTTGGTATACTCAGTGTATGTGATTGCCCATAGTTGTTAGCGTGAACTTGGAGTTCCATATACGCTCCAGGCAGGAATGATCTGCTATTGCCCTCTAGTGGTTGCCTGTTTTACTACAGGCAGCTTTTTTGGCTAAACAACACACGAGGGGAGAGGCAATCTAGTGTGCACACTCTGTTGTGAAAATACCCTATAGAGCAGTGCATTGAGGGAATGCTCTTAAACATCATGGGACCTGGCTCGGATATGATTGCAGAGGATTCTGTACAGGCTAACCAGATGGCAGTGGCAATGAGAGCGATATCATGATAGCAATTACATTATGAGGATTTGTTGATGTTTTTGTTGTACAACGAATACTAGATAGGTAAGTGGTTTTATAAATATAACATTATCCTGCAACAAAGAGGTTCTTTGCCACAGCTTCAATTTATGAGAGCGCTATGGTGCACCTTCAACCTTTTATTTGTTATTAAACTCCATTACTCCATTATTTGTAACTGAAGAGTGTAGCTCCATCCTTCCTTCCCTTATGTATCTGTTTACCACACGTCTCCCATTCCCTGTCTCTCTCTCTCTCTCTCTCTCTCTCCAGACGACCATAGAGAGGCGTCCTCTAGTGCCAAAGGCCACCACCGCCTCCACGGCTCGAACTGCTGCCCCCAAAAACGGCACTGCTACCATGGCAACCAGTAAACCAGCCACGGCGACCCGCACTGCCACCAGCGCACCCGCAACCAGACGCCCTCTGGGTGAGTCACTATGCTACACACTTACACATTTTTTAACACGCATACACACACAAACAACACACACACACACACCGTGACCAATTGTTTTGGTGATTCAAAGTGTCTGACGTCTAGCCAGCAGGGTACCAAACTGTTTCTGCATTCCACAACCTGACTTCACTGCTTTGCCAAACAAACTTTGACAAGGCAATAACAGGGATCAATAGGCTGAGCTATGTTCTCTTCTGTTTTGCCTCTCAGCATCAAAGACTGACAGCAAGCCAGGAGAGGAAAAGAAGCCCAGCACTCTGAAGTCAACAACAGGTACAGAAACACTCCTCCTCTCTTCGCTTCGTCTCCATCCCTCCCTCTCTCTCTCTCTCTCTCTGCTCTCCTCCTTTGAAAGGCAGCACCAGTCCTTCAGCCAGACATCCACAGTACTGTAACTCCAGCTGAGGGATTAGGGGCAGCTGTTGCACAGAGAGGGAAATAAAATGAAGAGTGACAGTGTCATGCAGGAACACACAGATGAAGCATGCAGGCCGTGACAAAGAGGTGGTGAAGTCGACGAGAAAAAAAAAGTATTGCTAAAAGCCGCAAAGAGTAAAAGCCTCATCACAGCACTCTGAGGATTACACTCCCCTACTGTTGACATGAGCTGCTGACACTGGCACTACATCTCAACGTTGCATAACCAGCAACGCAGGCAGAAGCCGTTCCCATATGCATAAAGAGGGGATGATTTTCTGATCCTAGCATTTCTTTCTGCTCAGAAATAAGACTCTTTCAGGACGGATTGGGCGGATCTAAGATTTAAGTCTCAGCAGGCAGGGCACATTTAGTTCATCCTGCGATGTCAGACATTTGGGAAGTGTGGCGGTGCATATTGGGGTTTATGTAGCTCCAGAGCAGAAAGGATACCTGCCTGATTTATGTTCCCAAAAAGTTTTTCAAAGTGTTGCTGACAGCATATTAACCATTACCTGATCTTAAATTCATAGAATCGTAAGAGTATCGAAGAGAGCAGATCTATATACACTGCTCAAAAAAATAAAGGGAACACTTAAACAACACAATGTAACTCCAAGTCAATCACACTTCTGTGAAATCAAACTGTCCACTTAGGAAGCAACACTGATTGACAATAAATTTCACATGCTGTTGTGCAAATGGAATAGACAACAGGTGGAAATTATAGGCAATTAGCAAGACACCCCCAATAAAGAAGTGGTTCTGCAGGTGGTGACCACAGACCACTTCTCAGTTCCTATGCTTCCTGGCTGATGTTTTGGTCACTTTTGAATGCTGGCGGTGCTTTCACTCTAGTGGTAGCATGAGATGGAGTCTACAACCCACACAAGTGGCTCAGGTAGTGCAGCTCATCCAGGATGGCACATCAATGCGAGCTGTGGCAAGAAGGTTTGCTGTGTCTGTCAGCGTAGTGTCCAGAGCATGGAGGCGCTACCAGGAGACAGGCCAGTACATCAGGAGACGTGGAGGAGGCCGTAGGAGGGCAACAACCCAGCAGCAGGACCGCTACCTCCGCCTTTGTGCAAGGAGGAGCAGGAGGAGCACTGCCAGAGCACTGCAAAATGAGGCATTGATGCTATGGACTGGCCCGCCCGTTCCCCAGACCTGAATCCAATTGAGCACATCTGGGACATCATGTCTCGCTCCATCCACCAACGCCACGTTGCACCACAGACTGTCCAGGAGTTGGCGGATGCTTTAGTCCATGTCTGGGAGGAGATCCCTCAGGAGACCATCCGCCACCTCATCAGGAGCATGCCCAGGCGTTGTAGGGAGGTCATACAGGCACGTGGAGGCCACACACACTACTGAGCCTCATTTTGACTTGTTTTAATGACATTACATCAAAGTTGGATCAGCCTGTAGTGTGGTTTTCCACTTGAATTTTGAGGGTGACTCCAAATCCAGACCTCCATGGGTTGATAAATTTGATTTCCATTGATCATTTTTGTGTGATTTTCTTGTCAGCACATTCAACTATGTAAAGAAAAAAAGTATTTAATAAGATTATTTCATTCATTCAGATCTAGGATGTGTTGTTTAAGTGTTCCCTTTATTTTTTTGAGCAGTGTATAATTTCTCTGAACTGAGTTGAAGTATTTTTGCATTTAAACGGCTTCATTACCTGGTTGTTTATTGTGCTATTTTCTCCTCCTCCTCCCTCCGTTCTAGCGGACTCCACCCGGCCCCGGACCAGCACCACCCGCAGCTCTATAGCTAGCACCACCAGCACCACCCCCCGTGTCCGCCCCTCCACCACCAAACCAGCCCCCCCCTCCTCCTCCACAGTACCAGAGAAGAAGCCCCCTGTTCCCCGCGTCCCCCGTCCCACCTCGGGCAGTGCCAGTACCACGCGTACCACCTCCCGCCCTGGCACAGCCCCCGCACCAGACATCCGCAATGTACGCTCCAAGATCGGCTCCACGGAGAACATGAAGTACCAGCCCGGAGGGGGGAAGGTAAGGGGTCGTGCATCAGTGATGGATGGGGTGCTTTTAGGGGTTTGGGGGGTGGGGATAGTGGGTTGGACTGATATTATTTATTCTTATGCGGATACCCACTTTAATATTTCCAAGGCTTATTGGCCAGGTTGTGTTTTATACATGAGTTCTTACATGAATAAAATAGATATTCTGTTTCACAGATGGGCTTGGTTTACAGACAGTGTCATTATGATATTGTGTAGGGCTTTGTAGTCTTAGTGTTCACAGTCTAATGCAGGGGTGTCAAACATATGGCCTGGGGGTCCAATCCAGCCCTCGGGTGGTTTGAGTAAAAAAATAGTTTTTTGGGGGGGAAACTAACTCAAAATACTTTAAATTGACTGAAATGTGTAGAAATGAGAATGGACCTACATTCATACAGTTTCTTGACTGTAACCAGCTCGCCAATAATCACCATAATGAAAGCTAGACTGTCAGGGAGCATCGGAAATTCAAAAACTATGGATAGAGGACTATTTCTTGCAAATTTTGACGGCAAGGAAATACAACCAATTTTCAATGCGACCCTCCAGATCTGATTGAAGACCGAATGCTGCCCCCGGGGCAAAATGAGTTTGACACCCCCGATCTAATAATGGCTTCCTCAGACAGGTTATGTTCAGTAGATGAAGCCCCAGCTAACACACTATTTTCCCATAGTGCACTCCTCCTAATGCCCCATTCCATATCATAGCTTTCCCTATTAACAACCTCTCCTAGTTTCTTCCAACCTAGTAACTGGTCCCAGCTTGTCTCATATTTTACCCTTTACGATCCAAAATGGTTCCCAGTTAACTCAGTAACTACCTCCATAAATTTCCATTTGATTCAATTCACCATCTTGCATCCATGCTGACATCTCACCCCATACTCTACATCCACCTCTGCACTACTTTACCTCTCACTTCCTTTTTCCTGGCTGAGACCCCTTATAGAGTACAGGTCCTCCTAACATTATTTTTAGCCAGATATACTATGCCTTCACTTCTACTGTCAAGTGTCAACATGGTGGAATAACCAAGAAATATGGTGCCACATGTTGAGCGATGGACCCCAAACTGCATGTCAAAGAAAATTCAGAATTTCTTTGTTCTCTGAAATAAACAGAGCCTTGCTGTTTTGGATACAGCATCAGAATAGAGGAGGTAGTTCTGCATACTCCTGCTGCCCTGTGTCCTGTGTGTTGTATTGACCCAGGGTGGGGCTTGTCTCCCCAGGTCTCTGGCAGGAGCGACGCCCTGGCCAAAGGCTCCTCCTCCAAAGAGACCAGCGAGGCCAAAGTGAGTTCACCCCCATACCTCACCCTATCTCATCCAATTTCTCTCTCTTCAAATATCTGTCTCTCTCTTCCTCACCCTCTGTTTACTACTCTCACTTCCTGTCTCCCTCTTCCTCACCCTCTGTTTACTACTCTCACTTCCTGTCTCCCTCTTCCTCACCCTCTGTTTACTACTCTCACTTCCTGTCTCCCTCTTCCTCACCCTCTGTTTACTACTCTCACTTCCCGTCTCCATCTTCTTCACCCTCTGTTTACTACTCTCACTTTCTGTCTTTCTCTGTGTATATTTCTCATTATGTTGTCTCTCACCCGGTCTTTCTCTGTCAACCTCTCTCTTTCTTCTCTTCCCCTTTCTCTCTCATTCTTTGTCTCTCTATCTTCTTGTCATTTTCTTCTAAAGTGAGATACATTTCCTCCAAGCTGTTCATCTTTCCGACCTCTGTTTGTAGGTTAAAATATTGTGGTTGGACCGTTTTTTTTTTATTGCCACATTTCATTGTTCACAAAAACATACACTCACTTGTCTCTGGTTATCCCTCATTCACTGCATGGACTGACTGACAGACAGCTGTATAAAGTAGATGTTCAGGTGACTGACTGACCGACCAACCGACACCATACTGTTCCTGGGTTTTTCCATTGTGAGAATGCAGCCTGAAAAGAGCGGAATGATGACTCACTCAGGAGGAATGCACAGTGGACTGCGCTCCGGTGACTGTGTTTACAGCCAGACCGTTCTGGAGTTTCCAACATCAACTTGCGGTTTTGTGGAAGCGGACCACACCCGACGAAGAAACATGCGTTTGAAATACAATCGTTCTGATTTATGTTGTGTTTTAGGTTTCACCTCAAAAACGCTTAGTTAGGTTATTTTTTACAGTAGATATAGAAGAACGGTCAATGAGATACCAGATCGGATGGCATACCCTTGGAGGGGAGGCACACATCCGTGGTAGAGCGCTAAGCATACTAACACACTGCCTTGCTACAATCTCTCTCCTCATAGGACTTCATACAGTAACACAAGGCTAAAGCCAGACCCAGAGAGCCGGGAGTCCATGTTGTTTGACAGCAATACGAATACTGTATATCCCTGGTTTTAAAATTGGCCTGCCCTAAAGAAAAATATTAAAGTTGGCCTACCCTGTGGCAAAGTAGTGGCTGGAGGGCTGTGATAAGTAATTGTACAGTAGCATATGTCTGCACTGTAGACGGAGGATCCAGAGGGAGAGGCTTTCTGAGTTCTGCTCCGTCACACCCTCTCCCTAATTACCACCACATAATGATTCCCAGAGGACTCCTATGGCTGTCAAGGATCTGAGCTTAACCCTGCTACTGCCTTGTGTCTGTGTGTGTGTGTAAGTGTGTGTGTGTCCTTTGCTTAACTGTCAGCACAACAGTAAGGTGCAGTGATTCCTAACTAAAATGTCTAATGGACTGGATGAAGTTTTGTCATTTTCTAAATCTAACTACTGGGTTTGTGGGTTCATGGTACTAATGTCATATTGTCACTGTGTGATTGTCCGTCTATGTGCCAACAAGTATGATTGTCTCAATATGGCAGGATATCACCAAAGTTAATATTAAACGGACAGTAACTTCAGCCATTCACTTAAGCCCATTAAAAGGGCATATGCTTAGCAATATCATCATTGATGCAGTCAGACACAGTTATAGTAATTATCACTGTAACAACACAAGTTAGCACCAACATACAATACTTTACAGGTGAAACCATCTCCATGATATTACATTCACATGCCTGTTTCAATAACCTATTTTAATACCGCAGCAATTGAACATCCTCAAAGGGCAGGTGTGGATGTGGGACCCGCATGTGTGTGTCAATAGACCTCTGTGTGTGGCCTCTAGATGCATCTGCACTATTCTCTTCCTTCCTCATCACACCCCACCCCCACCCTGACCCTCCCGCTAACCCTAACCCCCACGGTGACCCTACTCTTCCTCTCTGCCTGCTATGCTGTGTTTGTAGGTTCAGATAGTCTCCAAAAAGCTGGACTTCAGCCACGTCACCTCACGCTTGGGTTCCAAGGACAATATCAAGCATGTTCCTGGTGGAGGGAAGGTTAGTACCGGATTGCGGCTTAGCTTGAATGGCCCCCAACCCCACACGGTTGACCGCACGTCATGACCACTAAAGAGCTTGGGCGGGGGAGGGGGGTTTATTAGATATCTTCTGAAGACTCCACTGGAACAGGTCTGAGACAGGCTGAACCTCACTCATTCATAACTTCCGCACGTTTATTGTAGACTTTTCGGTCTGAGACCTTTTTCAAGACTCCGAGTGACTCGGTTCTATCATTGACAATTATGGCCAGGATTCGGTTCTAGTCTAGGAAATGCTACAGTGCTGCTCCCTTTTGGCACTGGCACGGTCATTGCCTGAAAGCATCGCTCCTGCCGAATGACACCACCGAACGCTTTTAAGACGTCACTCTTAATCACCGATTTTTTTTTTTTGGGGGGGGGGGACCTTGAAACAAGAGGCTGTTGTGTGATGTGGTTTTCGGACAGCATGGTATCTCTAGCTAACCCTCCTCCGTAGTGCTTGCTACTGCCCATGGCTTAGACCAGTGTTTTCCAACTCCAGTCCTCCAGTACCCCCAACAGCACACATTTGAATTGTAGCCCCAGAAAAACTCACCTAATGTAACTCATTGAGAGCTTGATGATTAGTTGACAAGTTAAATCAGGTGTGCTTTTCCGGGGCTACAGGAGAACTGGAGCTGGGAAACACTGGCTTAGACTCTCCCTGTCTCTGTCTCTAACTCACTCAACACCAATCAAACACCACCCTTACCTTTCTGACCTCTGACCTGCCCAGACACTCAACTCTGATTGGCTCTCCATGCAGACTTCCTCCTTTGATTGGTTGTGCTGTTGTTGCTACTGTATGCGGTGGACACATTAGTACAAGGGGCAGTACATGAGTTTTCCCAAGAACAGATGGCTAATGATAAAGCTGAATAGGTTCAACTGCATGGCGAAGAAGATGGCTGTCATGGCTCTTTGACCAGTTGTCATTCATTTCCTCTTCAGTGTGTGTAACTGGGTCTACTGTATATTTGCAGGTTCAGATACTCAACAAAAAGGTGGATCTAAGCAAAGTGACATCGAAGTGTGGCTCCAAGGCCAACATCAAACACAAGCCTGGTAAGGCCCTCTTGGGTAGACCTGTTGAGTTGCCATACTGAATGTACACAGTAAATGCATGTGTTGTGTATGTTTCTATGTGTTTTATTGACCATAGCACCTTACTGTCATTATATACTCAAGATGTTATTAAGGACCATTCAAATGTGACTACCAAAGATTATTATAAAGATTAAGCAAAACATCGGTCCATAGCTCAGTTTATCACCAACTGATCTCTGTTCTGTGGACCTGTGCAGTGTGTATTGTTTATGCTGTCCCACTGACTGTGTGTGTCCTTTAGGGGGCAGCGATGTGAAGATTGAGTCCCAGAAAGTGAACTACAAGGATCAGGCTAAGTCCAAAGTGGGCTCAATGGACAACCTCTGTCACGAGCCCGGCGGTGGCAACATCAAGGTGAGGTCACTGGACAAAGGACCTACTTGCACACACATTTCACTGTCAGACAGTGCATATGAAATGGTATAGTCCAGAAAACACACACACACACAGAGGAGAGAGAGAGATCAGGAAGAAGTAGAGCAGACGAGACGAGGAGAGATAGAAGTAGAGCAGAGAGATAGATGAGAGAGCTAGATTCTACTAGACTCTCCTAGAGATCCTCGATTTCGAGTAGGACCGAGAGAGAAGAGAGACTCTAGAGAGGAGGAGATAAGAGAGAGGAGACGAAGCTCTCTCTCTCTTACCTGAGTCTCTATCGACTCTCGACTCTCTGTCTCTACTCTTCTAGAGAGAGAACCTTTCAGCTTGCACAAGCAGCATACACACACATTTAACAAAACTATCTAGCTTCCTCTGGATTTAGTCAGCTGTTTATGTACCCAGAGCTACCGTACACCTAAGCCCCTGTCTAAAGATTACTATTATTATTTTTCAGATTATTAAATATAGCTGAAGAATATATCCCACATCTAAATCTAGCTCTCATCTAATATGTTTGAGTACATATAGCTCTTTATTTTCCACTTGATTTGATACCATCAGACCACTGGTCCTGTTTTAGCTTTTATGATTTTCTACCATTTTTATTTCCAGCTTTGAAGACATCCTCAGCGCCTGCTATGTTTTGTTTCAATACGCGTGTTGTTGTTATCCCATCTGTCCTACTGTACACACGGCAACCCCTTTTTCCATTCCATTGCAATCTCCCCCCCCCTCCCACCCAATTGACACCCTGTTACTGTATGTGTTCTTAGGCTGAGGGGGCCCAGGAGATAGCAGAGGGAAATGGGGCTCCCCCCAGTGATACCCCAGCCACGGTGCCAGGGCAGGCAAGCAGCCCCACCCAGGAGAATGGGGTGAAGGAGGGTGCCCCCTGCGGAAGCCAGGGCCTCCATGACCCCCAGGGCTTTGACTCACGCATCCCTGAGACAAGTAAGTGTGCCCTCCAACCCGACCAGTAACCCACCTATCCTCTCTCCCCCAGGGCTGGGTCCCACTCCTCCTCCTCCTCCTTCTCAGACTCCTATCCCTTGATGTGAGCTGATATGAGGCCTCCCAAATACTGTCTGTCCCCATGACCACCCAGCTTTCAACCCAAATATGCTTTATGAATGTCTGGTCTGGAGAGGGGCCTTATGAAGGGGCAAGTTTGGATACAAAAGGAGCAGAGAAGGGTCTCTTATCTAAATGACTTTGAGACTTTCATATTTATTTTGTGAATTATTCTTTCTTTTTTTCTCCATGAAGTCCCTGACCACCCCATTACCTTTGACTTCTTATTTTACAGGCTTCTAATTCTTCTTTGTGCTATCCCTCTACCCTCTTCATCTTAACCCCCTCAACATATCCTATGTCCACCACTCCTCTTTCTCTCTCCTTCTCTCCTCTTTCCCTTTCTTTCTGTCCCATTTCCACCCTTCCTGCTGCAGATTGAGTCTTTCAAGCTCAACTTCCGCGAGAACGCCCACTCTCGCACGGACCACGGCGCCGACATCATAACCTGGCCAGCCCCGGGCGACAGCCCCTCACCCGCAACGCAGCGTCTCTCTCAACGACTCCCTGACTTCTGCCGGCTACCGCCGCTGCCCCCCGGCTGGGACAGGGGGGCAACGGCACGCTAGCAGGACTCGGGTCATGACCCTCAATCCCACTCCCCACATCCAAACACCTCACTCATCCTATGACCTCACTCATGTATCATTGTCTTACTACGCCTGTACCTGCGCTACCTACCTACCGCTGTCCTGTGTTCCCATTGGATGAGCTGACATTGTACATACAGTAGACCAAGCTTCAGGCAGGTTGGGATAACATTGGGAGGGGAACGGAGGCTTGCCATGTTCACTGTGATTTCTCTGGTTGTGTTAACCTTGTATTAACGTACTCTGATGGCTCTCCGGAGATCATGGTTTCCATTGCTACCTCTGGTCAGGTGATGGGAGGGGCGATGGGCTGTGTTGTATATGAACCTTTCCCTTCCGCGCCTCTGACAACAGCGATAATTTTAGATCATGTTTCCTCACCTCTCCAAGAGCATAGCATGGCAGTTGCAGTGTACAGTAGCAAAAGTTAGTCTTAACCAGTATTACAGTACGTCCTAGTGCCGTTTTAGTGAGAGTAATCTACCAGGCAACGTCAGCTCTGAACACACCTGTTTGCTTCACACAGACACCCCCATAGACACTACCCAATGGGAAACCCTCCTAGACTCACCTGTGGGTTATGTACGCAGACTAATATGTGTGTAGAACCCTTTTACTTGTGAGCATGTAGGGCTGTGGTGTGTTCCCAATAACCATTGATTAATTTACTCACTATTCACTAACCATCGACTCACTCACTGCCTCAACTCCCTCCTCTCTCATATCCATGTACCCAGAGTCCAGACCCCTCTTTTTCACTGTCCAAGGGTTAAAAAAAATTTTTTTTTAAAGAGCACTCACTAAATAATAGGAAACTAGTACACTGTACTTGAACAGTAGGCTATTTAACTCTCTTTAAACTGTGTGTTTGTGATGGTGTGTTTGAGTGAATAATACTGTAACAATGAGCTGTGGTGTTCTGTTTACTTTTACATTAGTTTATTTTCCTCATCGGCTTCGTTTTAAGGTTTGTTTCATTGTTTTCTTCTTTCGTTTAATTTCTCATGCAACCAATACGGTGGATGGTCTCTTTGCCAATAGGGCTCAGAAATCCTCTTGAATACACGCACACATATTTTTCTCGAAACAAAGGCACACAGTCATGAAGATGCAACTCCGTTTAGGGCTTTGAGTCTGAGAAAGCATGTCAGGGGTGTGACAAGGGAGATGAAGACAAAAACAGATCAACAGGGAGACGTAGTGACGTAAAGACCTGTCCCCTTCAGTATGTTAAGACAACAATGTGATGTGTCAGAATAGTACTGTCTGGGAAAGTTCAAGAGAGTAATAGAGTGTGAAGATGAATTATGTGAAGGAAAGTGTCTTGGAGGTTGGTGGAGCTGTGTGTCTTGTACTGTACGTGCCTCCTGTCCTGCTTACCTGAAACCGGAATGGGACTCGGGCTGGAAGCTCAAGCTGATGGACCCTTGTCCCTGGAGCGACACAGACAGAATGGCATAGTTGAAAATGATACCGCCAAGCAGCGTGGTGGCACTGTACTTTGAATAGGATTTAGAATCATTGTATTTTGTGACCGGTCCTGCTTGTTGTCCCATTTCAGCTGTTTTCTGAGGGTTCTGGTAAAGTGTTATTGACAGTTATAAGAGGACTTGCTGAAGGACTTGTTGGAACATTATTAGAGGTTCTGCTGAAGGACTTGTTTTGTCAGGCTGTTGGCAGTGGAACATTCGATGTGGCTTATTTTACTCGTAGCAATGTATCCAACAATTGCCTCCAATTGCCTTTTTAGTGCATGGCCAGGTAATATCATGCCCAGAGCAGAAAGCCTATGTGCATTATGACTTGCAGTGTTGTGGTTCAGTATATTTGTCCTTTGGGGCAAATAGTCAGTGGTGTATCTTTCTTAATTTTTTTAATAGTGGGCTGGAAGAAAATTGGGGGCTGTCATTTTGATTCTAAATTCTATTGCAGTTTGGTATGTTATATAATTCAGTTTGTCGTGTTTTTTTAATGTGTTGTACTCAAAATGAGGACAGTACACCAGGTACTCTTTTTGAGGAATGATCCGTTCCCCAGAGATATGGAAACTATTTAAATTACCTTAAATGTTTGAAAATATTAAAGTGGGTTCACCGTGATGGAAATTTGTATTTCATAAAAGGTAGAGCTATCTCTGCACACACTGATGGCCTCCCATTTTGTTCCTAGGATATTAATGAAATATTGTTTGAGGTTGTAATAATGTTTTTAAATTAAATTAATCACAATCTATTGAGATGTGAGTAATAGGCCTAATCCCCAGAGCCAATAAAAGTAGATTAAAATGTTTTAAGAAAATGTCCAATACATTCTATTGTTATCAACAAGATGTTATTTTAAAATTGGAGAGGTTTGTAGATATTGATATTTGAGCGGTTTTGTAGTGCAGCAGTGAATGTTGTGAGAGGAGCGGCTGCTGAGATGGATCGTCGCCTCTGGTGCCACGGTCCTCATCTGATGGTGAAATTTCTCCTTGTGCCTGTCCACAGCCACTTTTAACTATCAATATTCCCCCTGATCTTGACTTACCACACTCACTGATATGTTCTCTCTGAGATTGCATACGGTTGGATATAAATAGATCTTTCACTGTTTATACACTTTCGCCACAGAAAAAAAAAACAATAAGGGGGTAATAAGGATGTTAAGTACAGATTTTATGTTAATCTACCTTTAACGATTTTAATGGTAAAGGGTATCATTATCATTATTGTTATTGAGCAAGTCTGCCTTTTTTCCAAGAAAAGGGCTGCTGAAGTGAACAAATGTTATTGAGATATAATGTGCTATAGATGCAACACTTTTGTATTTGTATTTATCTTGTGTTCCCGTAGCGACATGGTGGTTGTGTCAGTGGGGAGTGTTTGAGGGGTTATATGCATGGGAGACATAATGAGGTCTGGTCCAGTTTGTGGATTGCTGTCTATTGAACAGTCTTTCTTTCACAAATTGTAAGAGTTTTGTTAACTTTCACATAACCTTTGTCCATCCCCACAACCCCAGTCTTAAGAAATTAAAATTGTGTTATTTACAGGAAGACATTTAGATGTGATTTTGACATTGTAGGATACAGTGAACTTCTTGCGTTGATTTGAAAACAAGATACATGTAACATGGAAGGGATTGAAACTAAAGTGTAGAATTGCACTGTATAACATCCCATTGTGGTGCAGGGGCATCCTGTTAAAGCAGGAAGTGGGATTAGAAGTCAGGTCATATCTGTCATTTAGGTATATTGTTGCCCTCGCCCTCCACGCACACACACACACACAGTCCTGGAGTGTCATGGAGACGTCCGCACCCTAACACACCCTTGTGGAAGACTAACAGTAGCTGTCAGGTTTGGCTTGTGTTACTTAGAGCGCTCCAGTAATGCTACAATGAGCTCCATAGATCTGCTTCTACTGCTAGCGTACACCCAATGTGCAAGTGTACTCATAGAAAACACCTATTTAAGAGCATGCAGAAACAAATGGAATGTGTTCGGTAGACTTGTCATTCGCAGAATTAGTTTTTTGTTTTTCATTCATTTTGAATTTAAATTTTTGGTTTGAAATAAGTGTTTATTGTGGTTAATTGTTAATTAGTGATGTGATTATTAAACATGAAAAAAAAAAAGTGTGCTAGTCTTGATTAATTACGTTATCCTCTCTGTCCTCTTTTAGACATAATATAAGCCACATAGCCTATAAGCCAGGTAACTGCCAAAATAACTGAATCACTTGAGTAAATGAGGTATACAAAGTATACTGAACAAAAATATAAACACAACATGTAAAGTGTTGGTCCCATGTTTCATGAGCTGAAATAAAAGATCCCAGAAATGTTCCATATGCACAAAAAGCTTATTTCTCTCAAATTCTGTACACACATTTGTTTACATCCCTGTTAGTGAGCATTTCTCCTTTGCCAAGATAATCCATTCACCTGACAGGTGTGGCATCTCAAGAAGCTGATTAAACAGCATGATCATTACGCAGGTGCACCTTGTGCTGGGGACAATAAAATACCAGTTGTGCAGTTTTGTCACACAACACAATGCCATAGATGTCTGATGTGTTGAGGGAGTGTGCAATTGGCATGCTGACTGTAGGAATGTTCACCAGAGCTGTTGCCAGATAAACTTCGTTTTAGAGAATTTGGCAGTATGTCCAAAAGGCCTCACAACCGCAGACCACGTGTAACCACGCCTGCCCAGGACCTCCACATCCGGCTGCTTCACCTGCGGGATCGTCTGCGACCAAGCCACCCGGACAGCTGATGAAACTGAGGAGTATTTCTGTCTGTAATAAAGCCCTTTTGTGGGGAAAAACTCATTCTGATTGGCTGGGCCTGGCTTCCAAGTGGGTGGACCTATGCCCTCCCAGGCCAAACCATGGCTGTGCCCTTGCCTAGTC